CTCCGTGGGATCGATATTCGGGACTTAATCAAAAAGTCCTATATTACTTGATAACGATACATATACTTGCATAGAATCCTTAAAAATATAATTGCAATATTACTTTGTTTGGGATTAAGTTTTCGGTGTCAATACCGGGGATTAAAATCTTCATGTACAGGTGTCAACTTCTTAAATTCTACATATAAACAAGAATATCGAGATCACCTAAGTCTAACAACATCATTGGAAACGCCATTATAGCAAAAATGTGGCTCAAAGTACTAAGAAACTTGCCAAATATAAGTTTGGATCCTCAGACGGGGTTCCCCCAAATTGGTTGTTCTACATCATTTGAATGATAGCAGTCTTAAGTTCAAAAGTGTTGGCTTCTACAACAGAAGTTTGAATACTTAAGTGAATTTCATCTGTCATATGATTAACATAATCCCTTAACGATCTTTGTCAATTATGATATTCACTAATTGATTCTTGAGTTTCTAAGTTATTGTGCCGAGTATTCGCCATTTATTATTCAAGTGTCTTTTTTTTCTGTTTTCTAATTTTCCTAATAGTTCTTTCTAGTTATGAGTCATAAGGTTCAAGTTTTGTTGGTCTTGCCCTACGGACTCCGTAACTAAAGGTTCACTAATAGGTTTCACACAAACAAATAGTAAAAAACATAAAAATAATATTAATTTTTTTCAAGTCTAAGTCTTAATTGTTCAACTAAAATTAATGGATTGGTGTTGAAGTGATTTAATGAAATTTGTAGTGATATTTGTGATATCATATTTTGTATACATTAGAAAAACCCAAAAAAAATTAGAGAAATCATCAATAAACGCAATTTAATATCTATAGCTTTGGTAAGAGATAAATAGGGAAGGATCACATACATTGCTATGAATAAGTTCTAGTAGTTTATATTTTTTTTTATGTTGGATACAAAAGGTTGTTTGTGGCCCTTGGGTAAGGTTGCACATGTTGCATGAAGTTGAACTGGAAGGGATGAGGAGAGATTGAAGTTCGGATATGACGACTACAATGTCTGAATGTGGGTGTCCCAAGCTTCGATGTCACAATTCAGCTTGTTATATTTTCAAGAGAGACTTAGTAAATGCGTATAGTAGGTAAGTTGGTGTAGAGTGGAGTAGAGTCCTCTAGAGCTGGGACCCTTGAGAAGTATATGTTGAGTATGAGGATCAGAAATTACAAATCCAGAAGGATCAAAGTACACTATAGCATTATTGTCTTTGGTTATTTTGTGGATAGATAAGAGATTATAAGAGATTAGAGGAGTGGGATGAATTTGGGAGAGTTTTAGCATAGGATTTGTAGTGGGAAAGACTCCATTTCCATTGTGTTGAATTAGAATAGCTTGTCCTTTGCCTATTATGACTTGTTCAGTCTGATGATATGGTGTAGCTGATTGGAGCTGACTAAGTTCGGATGTTAAGTGAGCCATTGCACCGGAGTCTAGACTTCATTCCTTGGAGGTAGCATTGAGGGCTTGAGTTGGAGTTTTGGGTGCATATTTGTGATTAGTCCTATATCAGTAAAGAGATGCAGAATTTCCAATTTTATGTCATATTTGACATGTTTTGTTGGACCGAGTTGACATCCTTCCTGAGCGCAAACCATTGGGGCATCCCTTTCTTTGATTTCTCTAATTCCAGCCCCTTCTCCTGGCAGAGTGTGAGTTGTGTCCCCGACATGCATTAAACGCCATGAGAGTTTTGATTTTAGGTAGTTGCTTTGTATTTTCATTATTGATATTGATTTCCTCGTTGCATTACTTGTTCACCAAAATAATTATAATTTGCTTTGATATTAACTTTTAGTTGACTAAAAATTATATAATTTTATTTTAATGACCGTGAAATATGCCATTTTCTTATTTTTTATGAAAGTCAAATCATGACAAGCTCTAAACCTTCACTCAACCTGACAGTCATTTTGTATTATATATATACATATATATATATATATATTTAATGACCGTGAAATATGTCATTTTCTTATTGAATTGATGTTCGTATGATCTTCTCTTGGGGAAAAATTTGCGTACCTAAGACATATGCAGAGTTGCGTACGTAGGAGGTTATTCAAAGGGTATTGGGGGATTATATGTAGGTTACACCCCCTGTAACATATTTTTGTGTTAGCATTTCTCGGATGGAAAGTAGAAAATGATTATTTGATGATTTGCATGAAATGCTTAATGGCTTTATATTGTGCCTACGCTCATGTGAGAATCTTAAATATGCAACGTACTTGCCACCGATGCGTGACCCTAATTTTCGTTGAGAAGAAAACAAGAGGTTGATGGCCTCTATTACTTTCATTTTAAGAGAACGTTTGAATAACAAATGTAAGAGACCTTACAATACATAATTAACAATCACTTAACAAATAACTTTAGGATAACGAATGTAGAACAAGCTTAGGAATCCAAATGCTTGTGTTCTAGCCTCACTCGCTTCGCCTGTGTCATTCCGCGATGGCGCAGTCGACATCCTGTGGGACGAGCGATTAGTGTCTTGATCCGACTTGTGTTTCAAACAAACTAACGATCCCTGACTCAACAACACGAAGCTAGGATTGATCGTCAATAGAGCATTTGAAATCGGGAAAATATAATTAATATTAAATTTAAATCAAATGAGATGTTAAGTTAAACAAACCAACCAAAACATAGCATAAATGGTAGCCTAAATAACAACACATATACTTAACGAAAGCCTTGGTCTAATACAACTCTAAATTGAGATGAACTTGATCAAATAACAATCTAGATCTAAACATGAATAGAAGCTTAATATCAACTTTAATATAAACTTAAACCTAAAATTGATGAACATAAGTTGAAATCCGTGCAAATCGAACACACAAGCAAGCAAAAAAATCAAACATGAAATTAAACACAAACACATTGGCAAAGATAAATACCAAGTTTAAACTCAACTCACATAAATATCGCATGTGAATCTCAAACAAGCATAAAATGAGATCAAACACAAATTTGAACAAATAATTAAAAAAAATGGATTTAAACAACCAACACAAAGTAAAGATGAAAACGAACGTCAAACTTTAACTAATAAAAAATGCAAACTAAATATAAATCCCAATATGGCCTCAAATCAGAATACAAAGCAAAGTCAGATGCAAATACAAAATAGATACGAGTCTGTTAGGAAATCTAAGCTAAGTTTAGATCAATACTGAACACCATGATAACTCATATTAACTCTATTTGACCCAAATTAAAACTAAACAAAATTCAAATGAATAATAATCAAATCAAACTTAGTTATCACCCTGTCTATCATTGTTTTAGATAGACATATTAGAAAACAAAACCAGACCCTAGTCCATTATCTTTGAGGACATGTGACATAGATGCACTCATGTCTACATTTAGGCTAGCATTCTTTAGTCTTCCCCTAAGGTGTCTCCCTTTGCCACCCTTCATATTTGACCAATCTTTCCCATGTGCGCGTTTAGACAGGTTTCTACCTTCTCCACCTCGTAAAGAAGATTTTTTTAGGCATTCTTAGTCACAACAAACTAAGTTGTCGGCCCCATTTTTGACATCCGCTTTGCCCTGCAGAGACAATGTCCAGGCAAGGTCGAACACACAAGTCAAGCTATATGTCTCATTCTCTCTTTCCTTCGAAATTTTTCTCACATTATGTTGATTGAAATTATTTTTGTGCATTTCCTTATCTTATGATAAGGTGATACACCAAACATCTTGAGCTTATTCGATCAAGTTGTAAGTCGCAATCACAAATATATCTTATCTTTTTGCCTATAGAATGTTAGGTGATTTGTACGACCTTGGCATATGCCACCACACACGGCGTCATAATTCTGGTTCGGGCTTCTCCATCTTATGGGAGTGGAGTTTGAGTTACGATTGTCAGACTAGAATTAGGTCCACCTGCTTGGTTTGCGAGGTACCCTTAGATGAGATAATTTATAGTTGCTATCAAGAATACTGCGATCACCCCTCGACTAAATAGAATAAGGGGCACTGACGACCCAGAATAATGGAAACATGAAATTTTGACTGGGACATCATATCCTCTGATAGATTAGTCCTTCCATGCATTTCTCTATTGACCAGGATTGCTCATCTAACTACGGCATAAGAACTTACCTCCTAAGCTTTCTTAGGATCGAATATCATAGGATATAAGCCCTAATTTCTAATAACATATAAACTCAAACGATAAATTCTTCATTTTCAAAGCCATTAAAGCCTAATCATAGGATAATTTAAGTGTCACCGAGCTTCTCAATACCTGAATACTTCATACTTTCTCTTTTTAGGGTTTCGATAATAACTACTCCCATATAAGTAATCCTACTTAAAATTTTAAATGAGTAATCATTGAAACATAAACGTTTAAATTCTTGAAGACAAAACCTCAATATAAATTGAGAATTCTCTTAAGATTATCTACTAAAATATAATTAATTGCAAGGGTTTATCCTTTTAAAAAGCTCGTTACACAGATTAATTTAAACCCTTCAAGCCTTCGTGCTAAGTAGGAGAAAATTTTTTAGTTTAAATACAACCCGATCAAATATTGAATGAAATTCTTTATTTGAGTAATTGAATCTATCGTGAGGTGATGTTTCTATCTTTTGAAATAGTATATTACTTTTGATTTCATATTCGATTATTCAAATAAATTAAAATATTTGAAATCTCTGTGGTGGACATTAAATAAAACCAACAGATCTTAATAAAAACTTAGCAAAGGAGTTCAATGAAAGAATGTGATAGTAGCTTGTAAATGGCAGTTTAAATCTTAATCATAATGAGAAGTCACACAATAGCTTTGACTAATGCAGAGAGATTATGAAAACTCTTAAGAGAGAACCCTTGCTATAACAAAAGCCAATCAACTTCATATTCTCACATCAATTTCGGATGACCGTTAAAACACTAATTTAAATTTCAATTTGACCGTTGAATTTCAAATTCCCACAGCCACTAAGTTGAATTCCAAACAAGAAACTCCCAATCTTTATCTACTAAGATTCTGTAACTTCAACAGAAGACGAAGCCTAAGAACATGAAGATAAAATCATTTTTTTCTTTTTTCAAATCAAAAAACAATGTTATAAACTTATAATAACAGCATAAAATAATTCTCATACACTTAAAATTTGATCAACAAAAGCCTCAACAAACCCCCAGCCATCTTCTAAATCAGGGCTCATCCAATAACCATATATTACTCTAAAATTCTTTCCAGAGAAAAGATTCTGCCAGAAAATATGAATTGGTGCCTCCATAATACAGTTAGCTTCATGGTGCAGCAGTGCGCTAAGTGGGCAGAGAAATTTCAAATAATCACCTGCTTTTGTTGCTGTAAAAATTAAAAATGCGTCGGCTGAATAACTGTAAAGGAAGAAGAAACCCTAAACCCTAGACGATGAAAATGATGATGAAGAAGAAGAAGAAGAAGAAGAAATAATGAAGTAAACACCTGTAATGGAGTTTGCTTGACTGATATCTCTACCAGATGGAAGAAACAGGGCCTGTATATTCCACTAAAAAAGAAAAAAAAAATTGTTGAGAAAAGTCTACAAATATGTATGCGACATCCATTGCATTTCTAAGGAGCAAAGTATAATGTGAAGTGATCGGCAAGAGCAAAGGCAATGAAAAATTGAAATATAAATGCTATAAAGAATTAGGAAGGTTCACATGCATACGACTAAATTCCAATGTATTTACGTATCAAACACTCAAAACTTTAAATTTTAAGTACATATCATAGCACTTTACCTATGCATGATAAGGTGTATTCCACCTTTTTAAAGTTAAAAAAGTAGAATTTTTGATGTGATACGAATGATTTGGGTGGTATAAATGTGAAAAACAAAAGTAGAAATTAAGTGCTATGTATGTAAATGGCCCAAAGCCCAAAACATTAACTGTACGAATCAAATTTAATTCATTTTGAAGGTGAAATGATCCGTACTGGTCATCACAGACTCCACTTTTGTCACTTGAATGAATAATATTTCATAATTTTTCATTTCGAAAGAAAGCGGCTGACAGCTGAAGTTAGTGGTAAAGAGTATTTCTCTCCTACCCACGGTTAGCTACGGTTAGGGTTTTGAAGGAGAAAAAAGTCCTAACACTATGTTCTTCGAGGCGATTGTGATTTTCAAGAAGACGACTCAAGTCAGACCATTATAAGATTTATAGGGTTGCATAGAGATATAGGACACAAGGAATTGCTGAGTCACAAGGGCTCAGAATGCATGATTTACGACATGGTTGACTGCATGGGCCTGAGATGGCCTGCACATCCTTGATGGATTTGCTCTAAAATTGGCTTAAAAATCAACTTAGATTTCGTCTTTCAAATGACGATGTTGTTTAGCTGATAATGATTTAGTAAAAAATGTCAACAAGTTAATTTTGGGCTGTAATGTGATGCACTTGAATGGTATGAGCTTTGATGAAATCACAAATAAAGTGAAAACCAACCTCAATATGTTTGGCCGGCGCATGAAAAACAGGATTATTTACAAGAGCAACTGCTGAAATATCATCACAACAAACAGATGTTGGTGTTGCCTAAGGTACTTGAAAGTCTTGGAGATGTCTCCTTAGCTATAGACTATTTCGGCCGCAGCTGTTGCTAAAACATGATATTCAGCTTCAGTAAAGGAATATGCAACAATGGATTATTTCTAAACACGCTAGGAAAACATTGTCTGCGCAAGAGACATGAATATCCAGTTGCCGATTTCCAATTTCAAGGATCACCAGCCCAATCAAAATCAACAAAGGTGTGGAGCTGGAGATTTGTACTATAGATAGGAATACATTGATTTATTGTCATTGAAGTACTGAAGCATTGATTGACATGCTCGATTAACTGCATAACCGGATTATACTAAGATATTACAAATGAAACTATGATCCTGTAAAGTTTCGGGGGTGGAGGATTATGCTTTGATAACTTATCATGGCTGACCAGCTAAAGTACATCCATAGATGGTAATTAAACAAGTTCAAATAAACTCAATTGGTCTTTTCAATTTTTAGTAAGGCGCCTCAAGTCTCATCTCATTGGCCTATGACTTTTAAAATGTAATTTTCTAGTAAAGAGAAAGAGTTAAATTGGACAAAGGTTGCTAAAGGAAAGTGAAGGGTCCCTTCTTATCCCACAACAGGTTGCAGAAAGAAAATAAGGGGTGTCTTCTATATTCCTCTCAACTCGAGAGGTGGAAGGAGAGCGAAGGAGCTTATATGCGCTCGCAAAAGTCGTTAGGCAGGTTATGTCTTCTTGTCATCACAAACTATGTTTGGAAAACGTAAGTTAACTCTCCTCCCATCATCGTGAAGTTGTCTTCATGTACAAACGCAATGCTCATGCTTCTGTAATGCCACCAGTTTAGGAGGGACTGGTCTGGACCAAGCCGACCGGCCCACATCAGCCAGGTAGCCAACCGATTGGGTCAGCAGAAAGGCGTAGAAAGCCTATTCGCCTGAGAAGATTCCAACGCCCAAGTGGGGCCCAATAAGGCTCTAATCAGGTATGTATGGAAAACAAATTACAGAGAGTTTTGGGGGTAAAGTTGAGGGGGGTTATATTAAGACTAATAACATACATTTGTTTTTATGTTTTGGATTCCTGCATTTTTCTCTTTTGTTGTTTGTTTTAAGCAGCGTTTTAACGGTTTGTGGAGAACCGGCCTACCTCTTGAATTGTAGATCACCATTACATCTTGTTTGTTTGCTTAAATATTAACAAAAATAGCCCTAATATTGGTTTTCCCGCTGATTTTCTGCAATTTGTTTATTGATTTCAGCTTCGGTGCATATCAAATTAGTATCAAAACACTCAATCTTTGGGAAACTAAGGGATCTCAAATTCGAGCTAGCTGGAAGCCGACCAGGATCACGACATACATGTCCCCATCACACGTGCCTTCGTGACTGAATAATGAAATACAGATGGAATAACAAGTTGCTGGAAAGCAGGCATCAAATCGTGTATAGAATGTGCAAACTAGATTGCAGCCTACAGGTCTCCATTGCATGTCTCAAATCACGATAAAGTCACATCAAGCTAGCTGGGAAGCGGCGACGAGATTGCATAGGCGTATAGGGCAAACAACGGGATCCTACCACATTTGCGATAACTCGCGCAACAACGATTCAAGCTATATGGGAATCAAGTCTGGATTGCGGAAGCAAAGGGAAACAGCTTTGAGATTGAATCGTGCCCTAGTTGTGATATACTCACGAGTTGCATGGTGGGAAATTCAATGAGATTATTGCGTACAAAATTTCATCATCATGATTAAAAAATTCTTCCCGTGAGTAATGCCGTTCAAGAGAGTAGAAAACTAGAGAAGAAATTAGTGGAAAAAGTGAGTCAAATCGGATCTGAAATAGAAGAGCATCTCAATCATAGATGGGAGATTCACAGCCCTGAAAAAAAAAAATGATGAAGAAGATTGTGGAGTTCCACACAAAATCTTCTCTACCCGCAGCGAGATCGAATGAAATCTAGAACAGACATGAGCGATTACAATCCAAAGAAATTATGTCTCAAATCGTGATAAAGTCGCTATCAAGCTAGCTGGAAAGCGGCTACGATATTGCATAAGCATATGGGGCAAAAAATGGGATCCTAGCACAGTGGCGATAACTCGCGCAACCGTACTCATATAAAGTGATTCAAGCTATATGGGAATCAAGTTTGGATTGTGAAACACAGAGAAACAACTTTGAGATCGCAGCGTGCCCTAGTTGCAATGTAATCACGATTTGCATGGTGGAAAATTGAAATTTAAATTAGTACGAGAGTTGGGACCCTGATGGAAGGTTGCATCCAACTACAACAGTGTCTTTGGATGTGCAATATTGCATGTGAAAGGCGATTTAGAAATATTGATGAGCACCGGATAGGTGGAGAAAAACAAGGAGAATGTAAGGAACTAATTTTGACACTAAAGAGTGTTCAAGAGGAAGAAAAGATGGTGGTGTTTCGTGGTCAACCCAATTTATACAAAACTTTGATAAAGCTAAAGACCATGGTGAGGGCAATACAAGATGCAGTGGAGATTCTTAATTGAGTTACATGACATGGAAGAGACACGTGATGCGATGTTGATAGGGATTCTGGTGATAGATGAACTATTGGATGAGTTGTTTGGGGTTACAATATTATCTGAATTTTACTAAAAGTCAAGAAATCATCAAATTCAGATGCGGCCGAAGGATGTGCACAAGACGATATTTCAAACTCATGATGGTCGCTAAAAATTTCTGATTAAATGGAAATGATTGCAAGATGATGATGTCATGTGGAAGCTCTACGACTTCACCCAATAGCAGTCTTTTTTTTTCCATCTTGAGAATAGTTATCAATTTGGGAGGGGAGTATTTTTACGCCGGTCCCTAAGGGTAATTTAGTTCTTTGTGCACTTGAAAGTAATTTAGTAGCATTGGGAGGAATAAGGGGTGTGGTGCATCAAGAACTTAGAGGAGAAGATAAGGAAGCTTATCAAAATGCAATCCAAGACCCCGTCGGCGGCTTAATTTGCAAAACCTAATCAAGGGTTGATCGAAGAATCTATGGCTAGATTGAAAGGTAAAGAGATCAAGCATGAGGAACAAGAGGAGGAAAGCATCCACCATCAAGAACTCCCCCCAAGGACTTCAATGGAGGGGTGCATTGGAAATTTCTGATGGAGGACGTTGGCTGAAACATGGACGAGGGATTATAATCAGATAAGAGAGTTTCACTGTAAATACATGGAGGTAAACATCAGAGAAAGGAAGTTGGGATGGTAATGCTAGGGTTAGAAAGTTGAAGAATGCCTACTCCGAGTGGGAAAACACACATGGGTTAATATATCGGGTGGAGCGATATTTTGCGATGAATGGGCTAAATGGGGAGGAGAAGCTAGGGTAACATGATTATATTTGGAAGGAAAGCCCTAGAATGGTTTCAGTGGAGGGATGCTAGGTACTTGATCCGTTCATGAGAGAAATATAATGATTGCTTGTTAGAACATTTTCGAGTAATTCGAGAAGAAGACTACACAAGTAATTCTATGTCTTGACTTAACAGAGGATCGTCATAGAATATAGGGAGATATTCGAGTTATTGTCAGGACAATTGAGGGGGGTTTCTGAAGCAGGATTGGAGGAAAACTTTATAAAGGGCCTCAAGCCTGGCATACAGGTATCATTCTGATTATTGAGACTGCAAAGATTGAAGGAAACGATCGAGTTTGCCCAAATGGTGGAAGACAGTAACCAGATAAAGAAAAACAGCAGAACGACGCCACATGAGGATTCCACAAGAATACCTGGACGACCATGGCATCGAGAACCTGACGATGTCATTTCAGGAGGAGGCACCAAAGGAGAGGAATACGGAGACCTGTCACCAGGACAACTTCAAGCACCTAACAAAGGCAGAGGTGCAAGACAAGATAACAAAGGAATTATATTTCCAATGTGATGAGAAGTATGCTTCGGGCCACTGGTGCAAGGATCACACGCTCCAGATCCT